CATTTCCAGACATCGTTTCTCTGCCTTGTGAATTAGACTGTCAGTTCAAGGGCTCAGGAAGTGGTCTCCTAAGAAAACCACGTGGTTTGGTTTAAGCACTTTGGCAGTATTTCGTCCGTCACGTAAATCAAATAATAATAATAATAACAATAATAATTTGTTCTCAAACAACAGTTTGTTACATGAGGCATGCCAGTTTACAGGCAATATCAAATTGATACAAATGATACAATATCCACTGTAGTAAATTACTCAGCTGGGTTGATAATTTAAAAGATATGAATGTCGATGGTTTTAGTCAGTATCACAGTTGGCGCGCTTAATGAAAGTTGCGTTGCGAATGTGAAACTGATGGTCAAGGATAGGTCCATTGAAGGTGGGAGCTTCTAGAAACCGCAACTTTATGTCCATTTGGAATATCTAAGGCTTTAAGGATGGTGCAGGATGAAGCCACCCGTTCCATATCTCAAGGGGGCTGAAAAAGGGAGCAAGTAAAAGAAAGGACGAGAGGCAGAGTAGCCAATATTCATGGAGGAATGTTTAAAGTATGATTACTCAGTCAAATTCTCTTTAATTAAGGTATTTGTTAAGCAAGGAAATTTTAATAGGTTAAAGAGAATGAGTGTAAACAAGGTATGATTGGACATACAACTGACGAATGGAGGCGATCCGGAAAGGAGCTGAGAGTATGGGATTATGTGTGGTCATAAAATATAGTGCGAAAAACAGTATTGTGATATACAATTAACTATCTTCCTTTTTTTATCGAAGCTATTGGACCCCTTTTCATTTTTTTTGTATTATTACTTTTTTTAAGGTATCATAGGGTCTTGAGTAGGCTTCGAATATTAGCGAATTGTCTAGTTTGCTTGTAATAGGATTACTGGGTAGGAAGTGAAACCAATTCAACTTGCGCAACACGATTTAAAGAGGTATTTTGCATGATAAGTGAGCGTTAATATCTTAAGTTCGTGATATTCCACTGAACCATAAGGAGCCGTAATTAAACAAAATGTGTGTCGCATATATATTTGATGCCTCCTTGCACCAACGTTTATGTATGTAAATAAATAAAATAATTAATTAAACCACAGAATCAGAGTGTACTATTGAAAAGTTTTGAAGGGTTTTCAGTAATTCGTTCATAAAAGCTGGTGCACCGCACATAACTTGGAGTACATCAAAGATTCAGAGAAACGTCATTGCAGTTCTTTAAAGAGGTTCGTACTCTCCTCTGTAATAGAAGTATGTGGGAGAGATTTAGGTTATTGGGTACTGACAAGACAAAATCTCAATAGAGGAATCCCCGAAATATTTGTGCCTCAACCCTCAGCAAGATTTGAGGGTTATACGAAGAAAAATTTGTTAAAGATCCTATGGAATACTATAAGCGCTTATACTCGTATGTAAACCACCGGACCAAGAAAAAAGGAAGTAGTACAGCAATATGGGGAGACAGTAGTACTGCATCGTTAGTGAAGGACGATTATGGTAATTCCTAGGTATTCTCAAATTACATTAGCAATGCATATGTGACAGCATTGGGCATGGCATGGCTCGGGCTTACAGGCGTGGTCCCTGTTGAATGTTACCTATATCTTTTATTCATATTAAACATATTGTCCTATCTCTAGACTAAGCTCGTTCTACATCATGTATTGGTGATTGTTACGATACGATGAGTTGGTGTAGACGATGGTATGACTTCTACGTAAGATCTTATAGATTAGGCAGTTATATCATGACAAATCTACAATTTTAGGATTACGTCTAATACTAGGGCAGTACTAATATCATACTTACTTACTTACTTACGCCTGTTACTCCTCGTGAAGGAGCATAGGCCGCTCACCAGCGTTCTCCATCCAACCCTGTCCTGGGCAATCCTTTCTAGGTCCGTCCAGTTGTAATTCGTCGTTTTCATATCTGCTTCTATTATCCGACGCAATGTGTTCTTTGGCCTTCCTCTTTTTCGCTTCCCTTCAGCATTCCACGTTAGGGCTTGCCTCGTGATGCAGTTTGACGATTTGCGTAATGTATGTCCTATCCATTTCCATCGTCTTTTCCTAATTTCTTCTTCAGCTGGAAGTTGGTTTGTTCTTTCCCACAGAAGGCTGTTGCTGATGGTATCCGGCCAATGGATGTTGAGTATCTTGGGAAGACAGCTATTTATAAATACTTGTACTTTCTTGATTGTGGTTGTTGTAGTTCTCCAAGTTTCAGCTCCATACAGTAGAACTGCCTTGACGTTCGTATTGAAGATTCTCACTTTGATATTGGTTGAAAGTTGTTTTGAGTTCCATATGTTCTTCAATTGTAGGAATGCGACCCTTGCTTTGCCGATCCTCGCCTTTACGTCTGCATCTGAGCCTCCTTGTTCATCGATGATGCTTCCCAGATATGTGAAGGATTCTACATCTTCCAGAGTTTCGCCATCAAGAGTGATTGGATTGCTGTTCTCCGCTTTGAATTTGAGGACCTTAGTTTTCCCTTTGTGTATGCTGAGGCCTACTGATGCAGAGACTGCTGCTACACTGGCTGTCTTCATCTGCATCTGTTCGTGTGTACGTGATAGGAGGGCTAGGTCATCTGCGAAGTCCAAATATCATAGTAGACCGTAATTATACACATATACCATAGAGATGCCCTCCCCCTTCAGTTCTTACAAAGGCCCCACACACATATATGCACTGAACACTGTGATCATCAAAGAACTAGATGTGTTTGGTGTGATAAATAGCCTTGATTTACGAAAATTCATGGAACCCGGTAGAATGCATCCCAGGTTTCTAAAGGGATAAGCAAAATTTATCGCGAATCCCGAAAGCATATATATTATTGCAGATTACCAAAAGACTTGAAGAATGTTATAGTACGAGCTACAAACCTGAAAGCTATCGATCTCTGAGCCTAACCAGCACAGTTGGTAAAATTTTAGGAAAGATTATCTGGGAGTTATTTGAGTATCTCGAAGAAAACCAGATTATTTCTGAAAAGGAGAATGTCTTTAGAACAGGGTAGCATGTTTCACTAACCAATTAGTAGCCCTTCAAAGATGGTGAGCTCCTAAAAATCAAAAGTTACTTATAAAAGTGGCCTTTGTTAACTTCGGTAAAGCTCTTGCCAAAGTTCCATGCAATCGGCTGTGATCTAAGTTAATTGATGCTAGGATTAGAAGGAACATATTTATCTGGGTAGAGGATTTCCTAGTCGGGCGTCAACAAAGAGTGCAGACTAACCGCAAGCTAACGAGTTAACAAACATTGCATAGCGAAATGCTTCAGGCCATGGGTTTGGGACTAGTGTTGTTTCTCCTCTATGTAAATGAACGTCTTAGTTTCCTATTACCATCGGTTTTGTCATGTGCTGACGACGTCAAGATATGTAGCTTCAAAATTGTCCGGAGAAATCATCTGAATGGTCTAAAATTTTGCGGTTGCTGTCGAATGCTTCCAAGTACACTATGATGCATGTCGGTAAAAAAGATACAGATACATACACTGTGAATAATATTGAGCTACCTGTTGTCCAGTCACGCAATGATCCACGATTCATCGTTATATAATACTTTAAAACTACTTCACACCTCTGTGTTACAAATGTCAAAGTTCATAGAATGCTATGTCTAATATGAAGGGCCTTCAGCCATGTCGATACTAACACTTTGTTCGTCATAAACTCGTGTACTGCATACAGGCGGCTAGTCCCTGTCTAAAAAGAGGCAGTAAGTTATTAGAAAAGGTTCGGGGAACTGAACCATGCTGAATGCTGAAATAGAAAAGCTCCTACATGATGCTCGACTGGATAAACGAAGCCTATAGCCACTGTCATATCTAAGAAGTAGAGGGTTTTCGAAGTTTCCGCCTCAATACAGTAGAACTGTCTTAACATATGTATTGAAAATCATGACTATGGTGTTGATTGAGTTGTGTTGTTTTGAGTTCCAGATGTTCATCAGTTGTAGATAGGCTGTTCTTGTTTTGCCGGTCCGTGCCTTCACATCTGCATCAGATCCACCATGTTCATCCGTGATGCTGTCCAGATATGTAAAGGTCTTTACATCCACCAAAGCTTCTCCGTCAAGTGTGATTCGATTGGTGCATGTTGTGTTGTATCGGATAATCTTGCTTTTCCCTTTGTGTATATTGAGACCTACTGCTGCTGACGCTGCTGCTACACTGGTTGTCTTCTTCTGCATTTGTTGTTGCGATTGCGATAGGAGAGCCAGATCATCTGCGAAGTCTAGATCGTCCAGCTGCATCCTAGATGACCACTGTATTCCGTGTTTCCCTCCAGATGTTGACGTCTTCATGATCCAGTCGATAATCAGGAGAAAGAGAAAGGGTAAGGTTGAGAGTAAGCAACCTTGTTTGGCTCCATTCTTTCTTTCAAACGAGTCTGTGGGCTGTCCTTCATGCACGATTTTGCAGTTTAATCCATCATAAGAATTCCGTATGTTGTTGACTAACTTCTCAGGCACGCCATAGTTTTGACCTGTTAGTGCAACCAAATAGATTCTTGCAGTCAGGTTTATGCAGAGTGGTGAATTCCATTCAAGTGATTGTTCTACAATGTTCCGTAGTGTTGCAATCTGGTCGGTACACTATCGATTCTTATGAAATCCAGCCTGTTGGTCTCGAATTTAGGCGTCTACGGAGTCCTTCATTCTGTTTAACAATACCTTGTTGAAGAAGTTACCTGGTATTGAGAGAAGGGTGGTGCCTCTTTAGTTCTCACACTTGATGAGATCACCTTTCTTTGATATCTTGATGATGTGTCCTCCTTTTCAGTCTGTTGGTACTTGTTCTTTATCCCAAATCTTATTGAAGATAATACTGAGTGTATTTGCAGTTATTGCTACATTTTTTTACAGTGCATCTACTGGAATGTTGTCTGGTCCTTCTGCTTTGCCGATCATGATCTATCTGGCGACCACGCTGATCTTTTCAATTTTTGGTGGGCGCATCAGTCAAGCCTTGCGTTACTAACTGGCATGCTATGAAAGGTGACAATACATTTCGTGTATGTCAAGAATGTGATTTCTTAAAGATTTAGTTTATGAGATATAGAGATGAAATTAAAAGGAAGGTTGTTGTATCATTCAAAACCAATCACTTTGATGGCGAGGTAAGTTGATGCAACAAGTTATACATTTTCTCAGGATTCTTTAGATAGTTATTTTGCTTCAGCCGTTGAGAAGTGGACAAATAGTAGTTCAAGTGAACAGTTCAGTAAGTATTCAAGCGGTTTTCTGTAGCTTTCAGTTGCATTTCGAAGGAAGATCGCTCCATACGTCTTAAGCCTGAAGTTAATTATTTTTCATCAAGTAATTCTTTTTTATTGATCCTATGTTTTCTAGGATTTAATATGTCAAGAGCTGAAAACATTTTGGGAACAGTTAGGTGATACTTGTTTGCCACCAGCTTTAGAGTTAGTTCGTGATATTATATGATATTTTTGTAGTCTAGTCGCTAATTTGGCATGTGATATTAGGGAGGACTTTTTCAACCACATTGATGATTTTTTACCTCTGGTTGTTAGTGCTGTAATAAGAAATTCGAAGAATGCAGAGTTTCTGGCTCATTGTTTCGAGTGCTTGTCACATTTGGTTTATTTCTTACATCGACCTATGGTTAAGAACATTCGGAAAATTTTAAAGTACTTGTCATTTCTTATTCTATCAGTCACATTAGGTGCTTTCTGCCCTTGCTGTCTCACTGCTCTTCTGACATCCCAAGGTTTACAGCTGAATGTTTAGCCTTTTTGTTCAGAAAGTTTGTGGATAAAATTGCGTTGTTCCATACTTTGGAAGAAATGATTGAAAACCCTGAGGTTTGATTTAATTTTAAAGTTTTCAAAAATCATATTCAGTGCCTTGGAGCTGTGTTAGTAGAAATGTTGTCAGGTGTCGGTGAAAAAGTGCATACGACTTCTTTGGAGGTAATGCATTTTACATCTTGGAATTGTTAGATTCTTCCTTGTTTATTAGATTCTCTGTTTAGCTTAAGCTGCGATAGTAAACAATCTGTACAGTTGGATTGTGATAGCCACAAAAATGAAAATAACCCACCAGATGTTAGCAATGCCTCCATGAAGATGACAAGTCCAGTGAACGACTGCTGTTCAGTTTCGAAAAGCGTTATTGCTGTCAGTTATTCACTGTCACAATTGGTAAAGCGGTCTCCATCTTCTGAACAAATAAACTACGTTATTCAACATTTGGCCCGTCAATGTCAGCGCTTATCATCTTCTCCTAATCTTCAGTATTTTCGCGAATATCTCACACTTCTGACTAGTTTCATCCAGTCACTTGCGAAATCTGAATTTATGTCTTTATTTGAAGAAAATATTAGCAAGGTCAGTTTCCTATTTACGCAGTTATTTATTCTCTGCTACCTTTCGAATATAGTACCAGGCACAAATAAGCAAAATGTTGATACATAAAAGTTTGATTTGTTATCTTAAAACAACTTAATAATAGCTTCTTCAAGTCAATCCGATAATTTATCTGTTCTTGAATTATTTGTACTATGCCTGATATTTGTTCGATACCGTATTTAAAACCAGTGTAGTGCTGCAGGTTTGTGACCAATCTGTTTACGTAAAAAGTTTGTTTTGTTTCTGGCTATCCCAGGATCCTGTGGTATCTTCATCCAAATTTACTAGCGTTGGTATTTCACTATGAGCTATTACACAGACATCACTGATCGCTTGGATCATAGATTAATGTCACGACAGCTCTAATATCATGACGAGATCAGTAAACAGGCTTTTCGAATTGACAAATAGAAAACGAGTATGTAACACATCATTTGTCTTGAATACGGTCTCGTACAGACAGTATGTATCGAAGCTAAGACTACTAAGATACAAACCCACCTGTTGTCTGAACTGCATCAGTGTCCGATCGTTGGAGGCCAAACTAAATGGCGCACGTGGTTTCGGAAAACATGACTCAGTATTCGGTGGTAATATTCATACTTTCGAGTATTTAATAACAAAATTTGAGTTTGAAAATGAAAGTAAAAGCATTCAAAATAAAAAGTATGAATATAAGGAATTTGTTTGGAACTAGGCAATTGCAAATGTCGTTTACATAAACAGCCATGCGGAGCAAAAGCGTGTTCATATTAGTGCATGCTCTAGGATACTGTCTGGGTTCTTATATCGAACTAAATGATTTTCTTGGATCACTTTCTCAAGCCTTGACCTACAGGTCTAATCCACAGAACTGTTGGCCATCGTCAGGATAAGCAAGTGCATGGTAGCTAGTAATCAAATATTGGTTACAACATCACCTAATTCGTCAGGACCCTATGGTCTATGTTCTCTGACTTTAGGATTCTTCCTCACTCCTTCGCACATTCCTCGTATCTGCCAACCCAGTTTGAGCGCCGGTTATTCTCTTCCCGTTCTCTCGCTATGTTGATTATATCTGCCCAGGTTAAAGTAGGATAAAATAATTGTTTCAGCTCATTATTGATAGCAGTTTGTGTCAAAAGTTTTCATTATATTTACAAACGTATTAACCCCTGTAGTCAAAATAAACCAACATTTATTCCCTGACAGTAATGCTGGCAATTAACTCAAGGATTTCTATGAACTTCCTATTTACTAAAATTGAACTCTGTAATTTGGTCCAAGTAACATGACATAGTGATTGGCTACCAAGTAGATGTTTATTTGTGGGTTATAATTTTCTTTTATCTAGATCCTTATAACTTTGAACAACTGTTATTCATCACCAGACGTGCTCAACTTATGTTGCGTTTTCCTACAGTCTGTATCTACAAGATACAATCCTTATGACTTCGTAAAATCAGTAAGTTCTGATTCTTTATTTAAACTTGAGGCAAAATTAGGTAATTCAGTGTAAAACTCAAACATTAGAAAGTCGGTTTGAACTTTTGAAAAACTTGGCAAATTGGCAATACTTTGATAGAGTAAGTTAACATTAAATTTTTTTCGTTATTCAATGACCTTACTATTTCTAACAAGAAATATAAATTCCTATTTCATTCTCCATAATGCGAAAAACAATCACACTCTCAATACACAATTTCATTTTCCTGCGGTAATAGACGACGACAGAGCGACAGCTAAAGTCCTCAGAGTCATTATAAACAACATAGAAAGTAGGTTACAATCGACAGCAAATGAACTAATATATAACAGCTTCAACACGACAAAAAATAAATAACAGTGAACTAACAAAATCAGTACCAATAACGATTTCATGATAAATAACAAGGAAATATCGAAAAAACACGTTTAATAATAAAACAAGAAAGCCAAATAAGAGAGATGATATCACTTAAGTATATAGGCAGTAATGTTCTTTCTGTGTGATTGATTGATGCATAGACGGATAGACTGACTGCGATTACTTATGTTGTTTGGTTGATACTTGTTGAGTGCACATCAGAGTCAGCTGCATTCGGTTCTACGTCCACGTGTGCAGTGTTAACTGTGTGCGAAATAGACATGCGATATGATAGTGTTGGAATTATTTCCACATGATGATATTGCAACATTAGTGTTGTTGTCTAAAATGTGAGTGTGGTGTTGATATGTTGTTATTTGTGATTGTTGCGTGTGATGTTGTTTAGTGTAGAGGGATTGAGTTGTGGTAGTTGTGTTTGTGAGAGTATGTGGTAGGTATGTAGTGAATGTGTTTGTAGTGGTATGGTTGTTGCCCCATGATCGAGTGATCACACTTAGTGTTGATCTTATGTTTCGTGGGGGAAATGGACGAGTCCTGATCGATCTACACATGTTTTGTATACTGGACATGTGTGTGAACCAATCTGGATACATGATTGTGTGTAATTGTGTAGTGGATGTTTGTGTATCTGTGTTGTTTGTGATTAGTTAATATGTGTGTATTTGTGGTAGGTGTTGTTTGTTTGTGATTGTTTGACTGGTTGATTGATTGGTGTATAGATTGGTTATGTTGTTTGGTTGATGTTTGTTGAGTGCACATCAGAGTCAGCTGCATTCGGTTCTACGTCCACGTGTGCAGTGTTAACTGTGTGCGAAATAGACATGCGATATGATAGTGTTGGAATTATTTCCACATGATGATATTGCAACATTAGTGTTGTTGTCTAAAATGTGAGTGTGGTGTTGATATGTTGTTATTTGTGATTGTTGCGTGTGATGTTGTTTAGTGTAGAGGGATTGAGTTGTGGTAGTTGTGTTTGTGAGAGTATGTGGTAGGTATGTAGTGAATGTGTTTGTAGTGGTATGGTTGTTGCCCCATGATCGAGTGATCACACTTAGTGTTGATCTTATGTTTCGTGGGGGAAATGGACGAGTCCTGATCGATCTACACATGTTTTGTATACTGGACATGTGTGTGAACCAATCTGGATACATGATTGTGTGTAATTGTGTAGTGGATGTTTGTGTATCTGTGTTGTTTGTGATTAGTTAATATGTGTGTATTTGTGGTAGGTGTTGTTTGTTTGTGATTGTTTGACTGGTTGATTGATTGGTGTATAGATTGGTTATGTTGTTTGGTTGATGTTTGTTGAGTGCACATCAGAGTCAGCTGCATTCGGTTCTACGTCCACGTGTGCAGTGTTAACTGTGTGCGAAATAGACATGCGATATGATAGTGTTGGAATTATTTCCACATGATGATATTGCAACATTAGTGTTGTTGTCTAAAATGTGAGTGTGGTGTTGATATGTTGTTATTTGTGATTGTTGCGTGTGATGTTGTTTAGTGTAGAGGGATTGAGTTGTGGTAGTTGTGTTTGTGAGAGTATGTGGTAGGTATGTAGTGAATGTGTTTGTAGTGGTATGGTTGTTGCCCCATGATCGAGTGATCACACTTAGTGTTGATCTTATGTTTCGTGGGGGAAATGGACGAGTCCTGATCGATCTACACATGTTTTGTATACTGGACATGTGTGTGAACCAATCTGGATACATGATTGTGTGTAATTGTGTAGTGGATGTTTGTGTATCTGTGTTGTTTGTGATTAGTTAATATGTGTGTATTTGTGGTAGGTGTTGTTTGTTTGTGATTGTTTGACTGGTTGATTGATTGTGTATAGATTGGTTATGTTGTTTGGTTGATGTTTGTTGAGTGCACATCAGAGTCAGCTGCATTCGGTTCTACGTCCACGTGTGCAGTGTTAACTGTGTGCGAAATAGACATGCGATATGATAGTGTTGGAATTATTTCCACATGATATTGCAACATTTGTTTAGTTGTTTGACGTGTGATTGTGGTGTTGATGTGTTGTTATTTGTGATTGTTGCGTGTGATGTTGTTTAGTGTAGAGGGATTGAGTTGTGGTAGTTGTGTTTGTGAGAGTATGTGGTAGGTATGTAGTGAATGTGTTTGTAGTGGTATGGTTGTTGCCCCATGATCGAGTGATCACACTTAGTGTTGATCTTATGTTTCGTGGGGGAAATGGACGAGTCCTGATCGATCTACACATGTTTTGTATACTGGACATGTGTGTGAACCAATCTGGATACATGATTGTGTGTAATTGTGTAGTGGATGTTTGTGTATCTGTGTTGTTTGTGATTAGTTAATATGTGTGTATTTGTGGTAGGTGTTGTTTGTTTGTGATTGTTTGACTGGTTGATTGATTGGTGTATAGATTGGTTATGTTGTTTGGTTGATGTTTGTTGAGTGCACATCAGAGTCAGCTGCATTCGGTTCTACGTCCACGTGTGCAGTGTTAACTGTGTGCGAAATAGACATGCGATATGATAGTGTTGGAATTATTTCCACATGATGATATTGCAACATTAGTGTTGTTGTCTAAAATGTGAGTGTGGTGTTGATATGTTGTTATTTGTGATTGTTGCGTGTGATGTTGTTTAGTGTAGAGGGATTGAGTTGTGGTAGTTGTGTTTGTGAGAGTATGTGGTAGGTATGTAGTGAATGTGTTTGTAGTGGTATGGTTGTTGCCCCATGATCGAGTGATCACACTTAGTGTTGATCTTATGTTTCGTGGGGGAAATGGACGAGTCCTGATCGATCTACACATGTTTTGTATACTGGACATGTGTGTGAACCAATCTGGATACATGATTGTGTGTAATTGTGTAGTGGATGTTTGTGTATCTGTGTTGTTTGTGATTAGTTAATATGTGTGTATTTGTGGTAGGTGTTGTTTGTTTGTGATTGTTTGACTGGTTGATTGATTGGTGTATAGATTGGTTATGTTGTTTGGTTGATGTTTGTTGAGTGCACATCAGAGTCAGCTGCATTCGGTTCTACGTCCACGTGTGCAGTGTTAACTGTGTGCGAAATAGACATGCGATATGATAGTGTTGGAATTATTTCCACATGATGATATTGCAACATTAGTGTTGTTGTCTAAAATGTGAGTGTGGTGTTGATATGTTGTTATTTGTGATTGTTGCGTGTGATGTTGTTTAGTGTAGAGGGATTGAGTTGTGGTAGTTGTGTTTGTGAGAGTATGTGGTAGGTATGTAGTGAATGTGTTTGTAGTGGTATGGTTGTTGCCCCATGATCGAGTGATCACACTTAGTGTTGATCTTATGTTTCGTGGGGGAAATGGACGAGTCCTGATCGATCTACACATGTTTTGTATACTGGACATGTGTGTGAACCAATCTGGATACATGATTGTGTGTAATTGTGTAGTGGATGTTTGTGTATCTGTGTTGTTTGTGATTAGTTAATATGTGTGTATTTGTGGTAGGTGTTGTTTGTTTGTGATTGTTTGACTGGTTGATTGATTGGTGTATAGATTGGTTATGTTGTTTGGTTGATGTTTGTTGAGTGCACATCAGAGTCAGCTGCATTCGGTTCTACGTCCACGTGTGCAGTGTTAACTGTGTGCGAAATAGACATGCGATATGATAGTGTTGGAATTATTTCCACATGATGATATTGCAACATTAGTGTTGTTGTCTAAAATGTGAGTGTGGTGTTGATATGTTGTTATTTGTGATTGTTGCGTGTGATGTTGTTTAGTGTAGAGGGATTGAGTTGTGGTAGTTGTGTTTGTGAGAGTATGTGGTAGGTATGTAGTGAATGTGTTTGTAGTGGTATGGTTGTTGCCCCATGATCGAGTGATCACACTTAGTGTTGATCTTATGTTTCGTGGGGGAAATGGATGAGTCCTGATCGATCTACACATGTTTTGTATACTGGACATGTGTGTGAACCAATCTGGATACATGATTGTGTGTAATTGTGTAGTGGATGTTTGTGTATCTGTGTTGTTTGTGATTAGTTAATATGTGTGTATTTGTGGTAGGTGTTGTTTGTTTGTTTGTGATTGTTTGACTGGTTGATTGATTGGTGTATAGATTGGTTATGTTGTTTGGTTGATGTTTGTTGAGTGCACATCAGAGTCAGCTGCATTCGGTTCTACGTCCACGTGTGCAGTGTTAACTGTGTGCGAAATAGACATGCGATATGATAGTGTTGGAATTATTTCCACATGATGATATTGCAATATTAGTGTTGTTGTCTAAAGTGTGAGTGTGGTGTTGATATGTTGTTATTTGTGATTGTTGCGTGTGATGTTGTTTAGTGTAGAGGGATTGAGTTGTGGTAGTTGTGTTTGTGAGAGTATGTGGTAGGTATGTAGTGAATGTGTTTGTAGTGGTATGGTTGTTGCCCCATGATCGAGTGATCACACTTAGTGTTGATCTTATGTTTCGTGGGGGAAATGGACGAGTCCTGATCGATCTACACATGTTTTGTATACTGGACATGTGTGTGAACCAATCTGGATACATGATTGTGTGTAATTGTGTAGTGGATGTTTGTGTATCTGTGTTGTTTGTGATTAGTTAATATGTGTGTATTTGTGGTAGGTGTTGTTTGTTTGTGATTGTTTGACTGGTTGATTGATTGGTGTATAGATTGGTTATGTTGTTTGGTTGATGTTTGTTGAGTGCACATCAGAGTCAGCTGCATTCGGTTCTACGTCCACGT